TTTTTCTGTTAACTTCTACCTGTTTTGTCTCCGATGTGGTCATGTTATTAGTGACCCTGCTAGTGGGGGAGGTTATAAACGCTAGCACATGTCGACATGTTAGTGATAGAGCCGGTTCGTTCAATGGCCCTGCTAGTGGGGATTATACACTAGTAAATCGTGTGCCCGCCAGTGGGAGGTTTATAAACGCTGGCCATGACCTATAGAGGAGATGTCTATTTCGTTTCCGTACCAGTATCTGTTTTTCGTGATTATACTTGTTGGCATGCTATAAGTTTAAATAAGGGGCATTCCATATTTACTTACTGAGCTTATCTCATAGTTTTTCCTTGTCCACCATTTCAGGAAGCGAAACCGAGGACGAGGAAACCACGGGAAGTGACGAGTTAGAAGGCTAGCCATTTCGAGATTGATATAGATTTTAGAAATAAACCATGATCTTGTAAACTCGACTTTATTGGAGATTTATGATATGAGAGAATTTTAAAGATTTGATCATCAGATTTTGTGGATTATCAGATGTGAATGTGATAAGTTCCGAGCCTTGTGCACTCGTGGGACCCGTCTCACGAGTGTACGGCGTCTGTAGCGTCCCTGGATTTGGGTTCTGGGGCGTGACACCGGCTCCAGCCACCATGGGAAGCATCACCACTTTCACTTTCAGCAACAAGGGGTATGTTGCTGAATGTGAATTTCAGCAACATGCCCCTTGTTGCTAACATTTTTCGGTCACCACACACCAACCATTTCCCACCTAAAATGAGGTCCACTTTCAGCAATATGCTTCTTGTTGTTGATAGTGAATTTTAGCAACAAGACCAATGTTGCTGAAATTTTGATGCATTTCTCCGGGTGAGGTGAGTTGCCTAAACTTTCAGCAACATGCTCCTTGTTGTTGAAAGTTTAGAAGCACCCATACCCCAAAAAAGTGGGATTAACTTTTAGCCAAGAGTCGATTCTTTCGATGGAGAGTCGACTCTGTCTGCACTAAAATATTTCCCTACCTTTTGGAATTTGGGAGTCGACTCTTAGCTTTTTAGAGTTGGCTTTAGAACTCACAAGAGTCAAAATTAAACTCATAGATTTTATTTTTTACTGAAATTCATAATTTTTTTAAGGTTAAATACCCTTTTTAGTCCTTTTGCTATTGAATTTACTATGGAAAAAACCCTTTTTAAATTCCTAAAATTTAGAATTCCACCCATTTTTTTCTTTTGTTAAATTTTTACTGATATGTCATATTAATTAATAGAATTACTTGATTATTTTTTATATAAATAATATTATAAATGATATGAAAATTAATTGGATAAAATTTTAAATTCTTATAAATATTTTATTTGAATATTTAGTGTTACATGTATAAATTAAAAATTTTATTTTTTAATTCATGAATTAAATGAATTTAAATGAAATTAACTTTAATTTTTTCATCTTCATTCGAGCTCCTCATCCTCCCCCTCCTCATCATCATCATCATCCTCGGCTTCCTCTTCATCACCCCTCTTCATCATCTTGGGTTCCCCGTGGAACCCAGTTCTGGGTACCTCGAGGAACCCAGTTTTCTTTTTTTAATAATTGCCGTCGGGATATGTCTTGTTTCGATTTCATGATTCATTGTTATCATTGTTGAATCCATGGATCGGAAGTGTAAAACTCTTGCTTTTAATCTAACTTTTCTTCGTGATGCTGGTGAGAATCAGATTGTTTCGCGGAAGAAGTTGAATCTCTGTTTTTCGATTGAGTTAGTTAAAATTTGGAAGAATTAATTTTCCAGCCTTGGTTGTTCTTGATTTGATGTCAGGTTTGGGTGTTCTCAATTTTGAATCTGCAATGGAAGTGTTCTAACCTTGAATCTAGTTTAACTTTTCTTCGAAAAGAATCAGATTGTTGATTTGTTATACTTGGAGTTGAATCTCTTCTTTACGCGTTAGTAATCTCGTGAAGAACTACTCGATTTTATGTTTGAATGTTTTTAGCGTAGAAATCCAAATCTAAGGAGCACATTGAATCAACTCTAGAAGGGCAAGATTCGTGACTCTCAAATTCGAAAGAGTGGGGAAGTCCTGGAGGCATGGAAGGGTTGACTCTTCATCACAAGAGTCAACTTTAGGCAACAGACACAATCAACTATAATATTTTATATTTTTATCTGATATATTTATGTAAACTCAAATATATGTACACATTATTTTTTTTAACTATAAATAAAAATATACTAATGTAATTATATTAACTAATATATAAAATGATAAGTAATTAATATTTAATAGAATAAAAAT